CATTCTATTTTCTTTTTTAAGTGATTTAAAATTCATTTTCAAATTAAAAATATAATTGAAATTTTAATGCAAGTAAAAAAATAATAAAACTTAATAATTTTAAAGTTTAAAATAATCTTTTATAAAACTCCAACTAATAAAATTATAAAACACAAAGAATATTAAATAAATGATTAAAAAGTTATTAAAAATAATAGTAAAAAGAAGGGCGTCTACATAAAAATATCATACATGCTTTTTTAAATTAAAAAAAGTTGGAATCAATAATATATATAACCAAAAAATTCAAAATATAAAATTAAGAAAATTAACAAATATTATATTAGTAAGATTTACAAGAATAAAAAATATGAGAATCAAATAACAAATAAATATTTATCTCTGATATTCAACGTATATTTTTAAGTGACGACTACGTTTTTATACAAAAATTAAAATAGTAATTTTTAATTTCTTATTATCTTGTAAGAAAAATTATACTATTTAGCACAATTAGGCGTAAAAGAGATTACAAATAATATATCATCAAGAAAAAACGAAAAAAAACGAAGAAAATATAATATTTTAAACACAAACATTGATTATAAACATAAAATTCAATACAAATTATAAAAATATATTATTTAAAATATAAATTAAAACAAGATCCGCGCATATATGCGCGGGTTCTCTCCTAGTAATAATAAAAGGCATTGGAATTGCTGTTACTATTTCAATTATATGCCATGATTTCTCACTTTAGCTCTGAATTTATTGCATGCTCATAACTTTAGTTCTACCATTGGTAATTTTGGTCTTTATGGTAATGAGTGACTAAGCTGAATAACCTTAATTATATTAACAAAGAGAAAAAACTGACGAGCTGAAAATAAAAAGGAAAAAAGAAACATATCATAAAGACAAGAGACTTTCAAAGTATTCCGGTGAGAAAAAGAGTTGACAAACACACTTCTCATCACCTGTATGATTACAGCCAAGCTCTTCAAAATTTTCAAGCTTAACTCTTCTCATGAATCTGTCGAATAAATCTTCAAGCTTAGCTCCGTTCACAATTCTGTTGCATGAGGTCGTTGTATTGTAGTAGATAGATAATTTACAATGGTTCATGTTTGCGAGGCAACTTCATCGGCCCTAAAATGATCTCCCCGTGTTTGTTAACGCCTAAGATTTTTAGGTCAGTTTTTCCCTGATAATTCCAACAACAAAGGGAGGAAACACAATACGTTTGTATGACCAAGACATTTTGTCGCCACAGTCTTTTAGAACCATTATCATAAAACGGCGAAGAGGATTAGATGACAAGGAATAAGCAACGCCTAATGACCCTTTGAAGTGATCAGTGAAAGTGATTCAGGAGTTTTGACCGGAAAATTGGTCTGATCAGATACATCCTCTCACTTTTTAGGTCAAAACGAAGCACCATTAGTTTCTTCTCTCGTCTTAGAGTCATCATACCAATGTAATAATTATGGAGGTTAAGTGCACTATGGCCTTTGATTCTTAAAAAAGCAAAGCTAAAAGACAAAATAGCGAATGCCAAACAGAAAGGGTTATTAAAAAGGCACAAGACTTTCAAAGTGTTCCGGTGAGAAAAGAAGTTGACAAAAACATTGCTCATCACTTGTATGATTGCACCCAAACTCTTCAAATCCTTGAAGTTCAACTCTTCTAATATAGTTCTTGGCTCCCTTTCGGTTGTAGTAGAAAATGTATAATGGTTCATGTCTGGGAGGCAACTTTAGCAGAACTAAAATGATCTCACTGGATTTGTTCATGCCTAAAAAGTTTCACTGAATTTTCCCTGACAACTCCGACAAGAGAGGGTGAAGATTTGTCGAAGTCATCTAAAACCCATATATCAAAACCGTGGAGAGGCTCACGAGGAATGGGATATACCGCAGCCAACTTCCCATTGTAGTTGATTAATGATCCACGAGTTATGAACGCCCAAAATGTTCTGATATAACCCATCTTCTCACCTCTAACGTCAAAATGAAAAACCCTCGGTTCCTTTTCTTGTCTTCGGGTAGTCCAACCACCAAAATACACCATCACATTGATGCATATTCCGTTTGTTACAACATTATAACGTTCAGTTTTTCTACCTTTGATGTTTCTCCATATAAGGTTTCCTCCTCCAAGTGTTAAAACCCTGTGCTCTTGAAAACGCTCACCAAAAAAACGTGCTACACAATGCTTTGTATTCATTACCAACCGGATCATATCCCAAGAACATATATCTGTCCTCCCTTGTAACTCTAGAAGCTTTGAGATCTGGCAATGTTATGATCTGTCTAGTGCTAGGGTTACATATGGTGAACCGACCTGGATCTGAAGGATGTAACAAACCTAACCGTCCATGGACGCAAGAGAAATGGAAAACGGTCCACAGGCAAACAGGGCACAGTCATTTCGAGACTGGTACGCAAAGAAGTGTAACCAATAGGGTTCATGACCCAACCGGGTGTTGGCATTTTGAAAGTGGTAGGTTTCTCTGTTTCATTGTGTGAAGATGATAAGAGGGCCACACGATTCTCAGCACTACGAACAGCGACCAGAAACAGTGACCGAGTTCGGGACAGTGAGCTGAACGAGTCGATGAATACTTGGCTTTGGATGATGGATAACCATTCCTTGGATACACATTGGAACCTTTTAAGAGATATAGTCGGCAATCTAGACAAGATCTCAATCACTAGATCAGGAGGGATCTGATGTGCTTAATTACAAACACCCTCCTTGTCATCATCCTCTTCACCAGCTCTCATCATAGTGACATTGGATATAGCATGGCTTCAAAAATCATGGAAAAAAATTATGGAACTAAGCCAACAGATATCAGACAGCTTGATGATGCAAATTTCATCACCCACTAGATACATTCGAGTAAAAATCCGAGATTTTGCTCAAAATACGAAAACATACCGAGAAAATTAGCAACTGGGCAGGACAAAACAGACCCAAAGGTTTTGTAGAGAAACCAACAGAAAGATTGAAAATTTCGATGAGAGATCACTTGAAAGTGGGAAAGAAAAAAACCCAGAATCTAGAGAAGAAAAAAATCAACGAAAATCCAGCTAAGTAATCGAACGAACGAACGTAAGAAATTATAGATGCTTACCTTTACCTGAAATTAAGTAACCTATACGGCTCTTTCATCTGTTGTTATAGTAAAGCTTTTTTTTTTCTTTTTCTTTTGGTGCTATGTAAAAACTAAAAAGGTCTTTAAAATAAAAATACTAAATGAATACTTTTTTTTCCGGTTTTGCGTTACAAAATTGGGTTCAAAAAAATATAATTCACAGTTTGTCATCTCTTTCTCTTCTCCTTTCGCAGCACCAAAGCAGCACCCGCATAAATGGAGAACACAATAAAAATAAGCCGTAGAGGTTGCTCCAACATCTCACATAAGTTTTTTATCCATTAGTTAAACTCTAAGACCATGTTCATCAAGACCATGTTCATCAAGAGTTTCTTGTGAGTTTTTACCCATTAAATAAACTCTTTTTAATTGGAAAAGTGAGTTTAAAAAGTAGGATCGATCCTTATTTAATAATTAGAAGGATCGATCTTACTGCTTATGTGGCTTAATGTAATTGGCTCTTGCAGTTGGGAAAACTTTTTTGGCTTGGAAATTTTCTTTTTCTCCGATCTTTTCTCTGATTTTCTTCTTCTCTTCCGATCTTCTTCTCTGATCGCTGCTCAATTCCACCACGCCTACAGCTCCTGCCTGGTATGCGTTATTCACTATGTCACCTCTGTAAATCCGTCTGTACCTCGCAATCACGACGACTCCGAGACATTCAAACCAACGAAATCTTCGACTCGTCCGTAGTTTGCATAAACCACCGGCCCAGAAACTATGAGTTGAAAGTAGGCATCACTTCATTTGCGTAAGGATTGTCTACCACTTGTTCTTGTTCAAGGGCGAAAGTAATCAGCTGCAATTATTGATCTTCGCTATTGGTTTTCTAGAGTGAATTTGGTCTTCTGCAATTATTGATCTTCGCAATATGGGTTTCTCCATTAAAGCTCATTTTACACAAATTTTTTAAACAAAATTTTTAACTAAAATTTAGTATTAAAATATTCTTGAAGAAACCCAAGCCTGTTTCTCTGATAAACATGCTGGAGATACACAAGTGCTTGTTTCAACTCCTTCATTGGTCTCCTCTTTCTTTGGAGATTCTCCATCAAAAACTTCACCTTCTTCTGAGCTCCCACATTGTAAAATATAGAAAGCACCTTATTATAGAGATTATATATGAGATGCCACAGTTAGTATACTATTTTTCTCAATATTTGCATATCTACACTAACTACATTGGTCTAGATCTGAACTCAATTAGACCTAGCTATAAATAAATAAATAAATAAATATATGGACATGTTCATAATCACACCTTAAGCTTTCCTAGATCCACACGTTCTTTGATCTTCACAAGCTCATCCAAACACCATACTGATACAGTGTACAGCAAACTTTGACTGGTCGATCCTCTTGAAAAGGTTGCTTATGTTTTTACCTTTCTGCTCATGCTTGTCTTTAAAGATGTTTATCTTATGCCTTTAAGGGCATCTACGAGATGGCTAATAAACTTGTTATAGCTCGTCTCAACGGACATTGATGAAAACTTGATATTGTGGAGGAGGGTCTATTAGAGAGTTAGTGAGACTTCTTCACCGCACCAGATAAAAGAACTAAAGAAGAGGGTTAGGGTTTCTTGGGGAAAGGCTAAACTTCAAAAGCCCAAACATGGATACTCCTACCGTCAACCTTAAAAGGAGTACATCAACACTTTTTTTGTTTGTCTACTCAAAACTTACTAACACAAACTTACTAGCAGATAGAATGCTTAGAACAATTGGTTCTTCCAATGTTAACAATATGTTAAACTTGCAGGAAAAAAAGTGAAAGAGTGATAAATAGTTGAGATGTAGGCAAAGCTTAAATCTTTCTTTCATTCAAGAAACTCAAATAAGCAGTTAGAGGTCTTGCATTGAACTCTTCCATAATGACATGCCAAGAATAGGTGAGCAGAAACCCTAAATACAGTGTTCTTTACAGGATTTGGTCGACTATGCAATACACATACATCCAGAGATTGAACATCAGAAGTGAAACATATCAGCAGAGGTCATGATTAACTGTGAAGAGTAAGGAAGTTGCCAAGGGTTCATCAGAAAATCAGGAGTCTCAGGAACCTCTCCAACAACTCCTTCCACCATCTCAATAATAGAGTTCAACGACTGCAGCCTCTCGCTTAACCCAACGATCTGAGCCCTAAGAACTGTGTTCTCACATTCCATATCAGAGTAACCCTTGGAAGCCACAACAATCTGGCTCGCAATTTCAGAAATTTCCTGCACAAGAACTCTCTCTATGGATACCTCCACTGGTTCTAGAGTGGATGCTAGGTTGTTCATGCGTTGCCTTCCAATAGAATATGTATCTCCTGGAAATGGATTAACTGCAGAATTCCCTTGTAGCTGCAGCATTTTCTCGACTTCCTTAACGATTATCCTAACGAATTCACTTTCGTTACTGCAGAAAGAAAGAGAGAAAAAAAAACATCCAGAGTAGCAAAAGAATCAAAGATCAGACACTATTTTTCTATTGGGTTGTGGATTATCATTTAACGAATCAGTGATCAGGCCAAAGATTTTAGCTTTTGGGGATCATCATATAGTCAAGGATCTAAAAGGCTATACCTTTTCTTGTCAAAGGTGAGGCCAATTTTGCAAGAAACAGAAGCTAATGCCTCTTTCCATCTCTCGATTATGGGTTTATCAAACCGATATTCCCACTCTCGATCTCTGAATTGATCGCCGAATGCTCCCCGGAGTTGTTTCACGGTGACTGGATCCACTTTGAAAAAGATGGGAATGACCTGAAATTACAAAATCAGTAAATCTAATGTATCCTTACTCTCTACTTTAGGCCCAAAAAAAAAAAACGGACCCTGAGCAATCCTTGATCTGCACGTTGCTTGATCTTCACGAGTTCATCTAAACACCATTTCGATTCCATGTATCTCCTGGAGAATATGACCAGCGCGATGGTCGACTCTTCGATCCTCACGAAGAGATTGCTGAGATCTTCGCCAATCCTCTCGAGTTTGTCTATGAAAACGTTGATCCGTTGTCTCTGGAGAGCTTCCACTAGATGGCTTACGAAACCGCATCGCAGCTCGTCTCCCCGGAAATTGACGAACACTTGATGCTTCGCCTGCGGAGAGTGGCGGCTGGTGACGTCCATTGAAGGAGCTCTCAAATTTTGTTACTTTATAAAAATATGATTTTTTCTTTTCTACAACGAGGCCATAGCCGACAGTTAGTCATAAGTACACGAGTGGAAAGAGATGAAAATGACTCCGGAATGACACAAATGATAAATATATATATATATATATATATTTTTTTTTTTTCTTTTTTTTTTTCAAAGCGAATTGGAATTAAAAATTGTGAGAGCTCTCCTTCAATGGACGTCAAATGATAAATATATAATACCACAAATGATATATTTTGATAAATTAAAGTAAGAAAGTGAATATCAATGAATTTTAGTTTTTGTTACAACCAAATTTTATTATTATTATTTACGCCCTTTATTTTATACATGTATAATAAATTTATTAATTATATTTTTAATTATATAATTAAACCCAATCAAAATATGCTATATGAATATTGAAATACTAGCTGAAGGAGAAGAAAACAAAATTTGTTTCATTATATTAAAACAGAAACAATTTTTAAAATATATTTTTACAAATTTGTTTAAAAATAGTTTTAAAATTATATCCTAATTTATTGTAATATTATCTAACAAACACATTTTCTTATGTAAATTTATTTTGAAATTAGATATTAATTTAGATAACTAAAAATTTCCTTAAATATAGACTATCTTTAATTTAAAATTTAAAGTGATTTTTCTAAAAAAAATAATTCTAAACATAGATATTAATTTAAATTATTTTAGACTTCTTTAAATATATGTTAGATTTAATTAAATACTAGATTCTAGCATGTGCGTCCGCACGAAACCTATTTTTTATTTATGTAATATAATTGTTGTTTTTTATTTTTTATATATATAATTTTCTAATAAGTAATAAAAAATTATATTTAAATATAATTTGTTTCTATTGATTTATTTTTTCTATTATTATATATGACCGCAATTAAAAAATATTATTCTAATCCATCTGTTTATATTAATCTGAAAAGTGCCATAATTAAAAAAATCATTATAACATGCTCATTTATATTAATCCAAAAAGAATCAAGATTATTAAAATATTTAACATGTCTGTTCATATTATTTTGTATGTTTTAAATATTTATTAAATTTAAATATTTAAGTGTTATAAAAAGTATATAATAATATATTACTTTCAACTCTTTCATTGAAAATACTATTTAAATTTAAATATTTGAATTAAATCTAAATTAATATATGGGTTATTATTTTTGTAAAAATATAATAATAACTTATTTTATAATTTTTGATAATATAATTTATATTTAAAGAAATCTATCTTAAATCTAAATTAAAAACTAAATTTTTGGATTTATATTAAACTAGAAATTAAAAATAGTTTATTTTATAAATATTACACTAAATTGATTATTTAGTAAATATAAGTTAAAATCAATATTTTGTTTGGTAAGAGAAATAACAGTTATCCAAAAATAGAATAGTAGAAAACTAAATAAAAATTATATTTGGACATGAAACACTCTTCTATTTTAATAGAGAATATTTAAAATTTAAATAATATTTTCAGAATAACCCATATGATTAACGAATACATCATTGTATTTTTTTAAATCATATTCATTCAGACAAAAATTTCATATATTCAAAATTGATAACTATTAATACTATATGGTACTTTGATGGGATGAGTTAGGTTTTTTTTTATAATTGTCGTTTTATACGGATTAGGTTATAAAAATATGCAAGATATTAAGATAATTATTTTAAAATTTGTAAATATCTATATTATAGCTTTATAACCACAGTCTTTTTCAGATTAATAGAATGAACGAATTAGAAATATATTTTATAGTAATAGTTATTTTTTGATTAGTAGAATGACCATGTTAGAGTTATATTTTTATGATCATGGTCATAATAATATTAGAAACAAAAAAAAATTGAAAAATATATATTTATACACAAAAATACATTTTATCACTTATTAGAAATATTATATCTACAAAGAAAATATAAATTACATTACTAATTTTGATTAAAAAAATTATGTGGAGATGCACGGGGTAAAATCTAGTATATATATATATATATTTGGTATTAATTTTTATTTATTTTTTAACCTATAAAAAGTAGCTTGTTAATAACAAGTTTTAGTGGTATGTAGTTAAAGAAAAGTTACCTAAAAATGGTGTTTCTGAAAATTTTCCTATACTTTTAAATGAAATACAAAAATGACATACCTTATTTTGAGGTCAAAAATATCAATTTTGTAATTTATCAAAAATTTATATTTCCAATTTTCATGATTCTTAAATTGTAAATTTGAATGTTTTAATAATATTCAGGTTTGTTTGTTTGGAATTTGGAGTTGTTTTAATTTGTTAGTTGGACATTTTTAAAAGCTTAATATAATTTCTATTTAAAGACTAATATTTTTGTACAAAACATCATTTAACGGAAGTTAACCTTCGGTTAAGTCGATAGTGTTAAATGGTTATTTTAAAAGTTTGCATATAATAAAGGAAAAAAATTAATTGATGTATTTTTCTGAGAATAAAAAAAAGTTCGTTAATTAAAATGATAATAGAAATTTAATTGGTTATTTTATGGTAATTTACTAATATTGATTCCTGCTAGCACAATCTTTGACTCCTCGATCCTCTTGAAATTTTATATTTTCACTGCTTGTTTGTAAAGATGTTTATCTCATGTCTTTTAAGGGCATCCGCGAGATGGCTGATGAAGCTATTGCGAATATCATCTCTGCGGAAATCTATGAAAACTTGATATTGTGAAGGTGGGACTTTTCGTCCATTGGGAAGTTAATTAGTGACTAGTGAGGCTTCTTTACTAGATGAGAACTAAAATAAACTTAAAAGTACCAAGAGGGAAATCTAAATGTCATATGAATAACCTTTGGGATGAGACTATATAACATGCTCCGGTACTCATGAACCTCCGAGATGTAGAGACCTCAGCCCATAACGTTCTAACATTAAATTAGTTTGAATATGTTAAATTATGAGCCAAAGTGTCAGTGTGAATCTGTTACCTAACATTTCCTAGTGGCACATTTGTTCATGTGTGTCACTATTGTTTTTTTACGTTACAATAAAATAAGAGGCATGGTTGCCATTATAAGACAAGACCTATTGAAATTGAAAATTAAAAACAAAACTCATTAGGGTTCAGGTAGACTGTTTCTACTGATCGCAAAACAATTATCGGTTTGGTTCCCTGAATTGTATACCTTCTTTTCTTTGGTTTTCTTTTATTGCGGTGAGTGATGGTGAGAGTGAAAGCCAAATGGGGAGTTACAATATGATAAGTGCAGATGAATACCATTGGAATGAATACATAAAGGAACGATTCATACATATTTTATTGATTGATGGAGTTTAATTTGTCATCTCTTTCTCTTCTCCTTTCGCAGCACAAGAGCAGCACCCGCATAAATGGAGATCACAATAAACATAAGCCGTATAGGTTGCTCCAACATCTCACATAAGTTTTTTACTCCATTAGCTAGACTCTGATCATCTGTATCTTCTTGAGATACACAAGTGCTTGTTTCACCTCCTTCATAGGTCTCCTCTGTTTTTGGAGATTCTCCATCAACAACTTCACCTACTTCTGAGCTCCCTGGTGACATCATGGATCTACCACTGATATTGTCGTCACATATCGTTGGAGTAGCATCAAAGCTAACTTCCAGAGGACCATAACGCTGTACTTCCTCAATGGTCTCGCTGCCCGTCTCTAGAGCCACCAAGGTAACAGATGTTGCTCCACTTTGGATTTGGCAATGACTTTCTTTACGCATGGTGTTTCCTCCACAGTTGGTCATTGAACCAGACGTTATTATCTCGCTATGAACAGGTTTAGTGGGTGCATAAATCAGAGTAAAGCCACACTTGAGAACCTCGCAGTTTGTGATCTGTTTTGTCCCGTCAGTTACTTCGAATCTGAAAGAAGCCTCAGTGGCAACACTTCCCGCTCCACTGTCTCGTTTCTTGATGTCTAACAAACTGGTGTATCCGATAAAGACATGACCAAAAGATTTGATGATGTCTCGGGGTCTATCACTGCCATGTTCAGTCCACCCACCAAGAATGCAACTAAACTGGTTTAAAGTCTTTTCTTCTTCTTCTTCTTTGAACTCACTGGTACATCTAACTAAGAGGCGGTTGTTCTGAGCTCTGTAGTCCTTAAACGAGACTACAGCACAATGAGCTATACCGGTAAGCCCATCTGCGTCCCAATGTCGAGGTAGCTTTTGCTTCAACTCTGACCCAACCGTTCGATGGTTGAACCATACAGGTACTTGCCAACCAGGATAGCAGACTCCTATCAACACATCGAGTTTCGAACCCTGCCAATTTGATACAAAAACAGGATCAAGAAATAGACAAGAACTGAAATAAAAAGAACTGTTTTGGTGCAGTCATGTTTAATACCTTTTCTTGGTGAGCTAGTGCATCTGACATGAACTGAATCTTCCTCCGAACATAAGATATGATGCCATTCTTGGTAACATGATCAAGATTGGTACAATTAGTGAAAGTAAACGTGGAGTGTGAATGTTCTGTTTCTGCCAAGATAAGAGCCAATGGGCTCTCAATATTTTTAAGTGAGATACAGCCGTGTGCGTCTAACCACTGAAGATTTGGTGGAAGCATTGGAAGAGACATGAGCTGCTCGCAGAACTTCAGGTCAAGCCATTTGAGATTGTAGAGATCACTGATGTTGTTCGGCAATCTTCTGATACTGTTCCTGCTCAAACATAAACGTTGAACTGATGATAATGTGTAGATTGCATGCGGCCAATCACGAAAATTTCTGTCTGACCAAGATGAATTTTCGCCTTGATTGACACTGAAGCGTAGCAACAAGCTAGGCATCTCTTTTATGGCTGTCCCGTCGAGTAGTAAAGTCTTCAAATTCTTCATGTCTTCTTTAACCTCTGGAAAGATGGCAAAGCTCTTGCAGCCTGAAAGAACTAGTTTTTGAAGAGCTTTTAGGTTTTCTATAGAATCCGGGAGAGTTGTCAATCTTTTGCAGTCTTTCAATGTTAACAAGACTAGTCTTTGGAGATTCCCAATCGTTGAAGGAAGCCTTTTTATCGCGGTGCCATCTAAGTACAACTCTTCCAGATTCTGTGGAGTCAAATTGAACTCTTCAAGATTTGTGCAGCCGCTAAGGATGAGTGTTTTCAGAGAGATCAACTTCATTTGTGGAAGATACTTGAGGCTCATGCATCCTCTGAGGTTCAAGAATATGAGACTTTTCATCTTTCGTAGCTCTTCATGAACTGTCTTCAATTTTGTGCAACCTTCAAGGTTTATACTTTGAAGTTTTTGAGCCTGCGATAAACCAACCAACGTGTGCAGCTCACTTGAGTGATTCAGATCCAGCCACTTCAAGTTTGATATGTCCTATGGCCGAGATAAAGAACCAAAAAGGAACAAAGAATCAATTGTTAATGAAACTAGTGATTATAAATATGTGACATATATATATATATATATATACCTTCTTGCCATCCCAAACTTGCTCAATCTGGCTGTAAGGCAGCTTGAGGTCTATAAGATTCTTGGGGTTAAAATCTTGTGGAAACTTCCTCAGTGGAAACTTCAGCCAGTGGAGATATCGAATCTCTTGCAATGTGAACTCAAGTCCATTGGGGAAGTTCAAGTTGCATTTAGCTTCACTGTCTCTAGGACAGCTTGAGTCGAAGAATTTCAAGTATCTGAGATCACTCATTTCTTTTAATGCATCACTGTCTAAACTCATTTTCTTTGGTACCTCAGACATGTCAAGGAAAATTCCTCTGATCTTGGTCCCTTCCTGAAAAAGCCACGTAACAAGTAAATATCAAATATTGATAAGGAAGTAACTCTAAATGTGTAATCAGAAGGTTAACCTAACCACCTCTTTGTTTCGGAGAATAGCAATGATATCGCCATGGTTGAACAACCTACGCCCACTAGTTGTATTTTCAGAGGATGAATGTGATCCTAGTCCCATTGCTAATGTGTACATCAGATCATTTACCTCTATTCGACCACCACAAATGTGTATCAGGAAATTATCCGCAAGATGTCTTATTATACTCACATCCTCTTGAACTGATGAATCCAGTAAACTCCTCACATGATACTCATCTTCATGCCTGAAGAAACATGCCACATCGAGGAACAATTCCTTATGGTCTTTGCTAAGATCGTCATAAGGAATTCTCAATACATTTTGAATTCTGTTGTTGATCGGGCTTTTCGCAAGCGCACCAAGCTTTGATTCCCAGTACGCCTTGTCCTTCCTTAGAAGCTCATCACCAAGTTCTTTGAGAGCTAATGGATGTCCCCTAGAGTAATCCACAAACTCTTTTGCAAGCTTCTTGAAACTTGGCTCACAAGGACCAGAGAAGGCGTGTTTTTCAAAGTATTTAAACCCATCCTCATCACTCAGCCCCGGGACTAGATAAACTTCGTCTACCATTTCTTTGACCACGGACATGCTGCTCGTTGTGATGACAACTCTGCTTCCTTCTCTTAACCATTTGCGTCCACCAAGAATCACATCTATCTGAATCTTTTCACTCACATCATCAAGAACAATTAACACTTTGCTTTTGCTTAGCTCAGCTTTTAAAGATTCATGTGGAAACTCAGTATCTCTTTGTTCCATTCCATCGTATTTGCTCCTCATTAAACCATATAAAAGGTCCTCCTGCAACCTGCGGACTCCAAGAGACTTTGACTTCTCGCGGACATCTTCTAGAACCATCACATGCAAGAACTCGGATCCCCAATCTTTTAACAATTCCTTGGCCAGAGTAGTTTTACCTATTCCTGGCATCCCAACAATTCCAACAACTCGAGTGAGCTCGTCTGATTTAAAATCTAACTTCTCTTCCAATTGTTGTAAGCGTGTTTCGATCCCAAAGAAGGGAGACACTTTCTTCTTAAAAGAACTCTCAGGCTCTCCTCCTATTTCTTCCTTGGGCAAAACAATTCTTGGACTCTTTCCTTCTTGGCCCCTCCGACTTTCACCTAACTTTATCTTTACGTCCTTCGTGATTTTATTAATGACTTGGACCTCATCGCTATAATATATGTCAGAAAAACCAAGTCAACAAGAGTTCAATAAAAATTGCGGTCAAAAGTAGAGCTGGAGAGACCAAAAGGTTTCTTTAGTGTAAAGCAACACACATAATCTCTATTTGCTACGTTAGTATATCCTACATTGAAAGTGAATATGATTTCAACCCTTGTATATAGAAGATATGAGTCTTATTATTCATCATCAAGTGATTTTAAATTGTAAAACTATAATTACTAAATAATTATAAGAGAGTAGATTCAGGTTATATTAGGGCTCAAAAGAAGCAAGGAAGTTGATAAAGTTAGTAACGTGTAAACAATTTGGTCCAATGGTCAAGAGTTTAAAAGCTTCTACATCATGTTTGGGTTTACAAGAAAATGCAGTTTCTGCACTCAGTTGATGCAAAGCTTATTAAAAATTCCAGAATCGTCCATCTTAGTTGCAAAAAACTATCCATCGTGAAATGGGTAGAATCGTCGTGAATATGTGTATTATAAAGCTGCATTATAGAACCTATGTTCGTAGAATTGTTCATCAAAATACTGCTGGTAGTTGAATTGGATCGATTGATCATCATTTATAATATGATTAGATTAAAAAAACTCTAAGATGTAACAAACGAGAAACAAAAGTTAAAAATGCTACACTTAAACTTGTGTAATATCTAAGGGTGTCTTAGCGCAAGACAATGCTCGACATTGTGGTTGTGGAAGTGTGAATCTCTCTATGAGAACTACTAGAGACTTCTTATTTGTGGTTGTGGAAGTGTTGAGTGAGAAATGATGATGTATATGATACCAAGATTTGGCAGTTTTTTGTGTGCAATTTAATACAAATATACCATCAAAGTTATTAATTATATATTACAATAAAATCATTCAACTTAATTATATTTTTTGTACACTCAGACCAAAATAGTTAACGAGTAAACATTAAGTAGTTTTAAAACCGAAAAGCATCCTTGCACTATATATAATTTGATATTTGGAGCTGGTGGAGTTGACAACCTACTCATAAAACAAACTCTACTGTAATTTTTCTTCTTTACCATCTAAAAATGAATAGAGAAATATAGCACTACATTAGAATCTGATATGAAGGTGCTCATTCACAAATTAAATACTCATTTAGGCAAAAAAGATTCCTATTTTTATAGTTAGTTTTACATTCAGTGATTTTAATTAGATTTCACCTCTTACAATAAAATCTGGTAATTTTATTAGATTCGTGTCATAAAATTTTTAGAAACGTTATATTTGATCATCTGTATGCAAACATGCAAGTTTTAAATAATTTATTCTTTGTTCAAAAAAAAAAACAATTTATTTAATGATTTATCAAATAAAAAAAAACAAAGACATATGTTTGAGTATATTTACCTCTTTTCATCTACTACCTCGCCCTTAATCCCGGCCACAAACCTCAGAGCTCTTGACCATTTTTTACGTTCTGTATGCTCTTTTTTCACTAATCTGTCGAAATTCTCACCAAATTTTTCTTTCCGTCTCTTCACCGTGTCAACATTGACTTTGTAGAACACTGGAAACACCTCCAATGTCTCTTTCTTCACACATTCGTGGATCTTTACGAGCTCATTTAAGCACCACTTCGATTCCGTGTACAAGCTTGAGATGATTGCGATCGCAATCTTGGACTCCTCAATCCTCGTAAAAAATATGTCCAAAGCTTTTCCCATCCTCTCGTTATTGTCTGTGAAAACATTGATGCCTTCTCTTATCAAGGCATTTTTTAGATGACTTGCGAAGTTGCCTCGGACCTCCTTTCCCCGGAAATTTATAAACACTTCGTGTTGAGGTTGGCGATTTTCAGAGCCATTGGAAGAAGTTGCCTTGGACATCAGTATTCTTCTTTTTTTTTTTGAGGTGTTTTTTTCAATAAGACAAGAGAGTGTATGTTTTCTTTTTGACTTAAACAACGCCACCGAAGTATATTATATAACCCGATTAATGACTAATAATTAAGGATTTAACGATACGGGTTTTAATATTATTTTACATAAAGTGTTAATTTGATGTAAGAAAAAAAAAAGAAACAAAATGTGAATACATGCATGATTCTAGATCTGCATCGGTTATTAAATTAACATCAATTTTTTTATTAATTTAAATATCTGAAAATTTAATTCTATAGTAAAAAAATGGTTAGCGTAGTGACTTATGACTCTTACTTTGTTTGTTTGACTTTCTTTTTGGATGCCTACGTTCGACTAAATACCCTCTCACGCGGTTATCAGATAGGACATATGAGTGCGACATTCATGCAAACATTAATCTTTATGTTATTGGATCTTACTACAAAATTGTCGCAAAATTTGTTTTATATTTTGAGCAAAAAAATATAGTCAGAAATCTATTCTTACCAACCCGAATAAGGTGTTTGAATCTGCATTAGATGTCAATCTCTCTAAGATTATTTGAAAAGTCAGTTTTATACGTGATCGAAACGTCAATCTTTTGTTTTTTGTTTTGAGGTAATTCAGAATGACAACTACAGCTAGACATACTTTTATGAAATCTTATATTTTCGTTTTTCAAATGTTATAGATTCCTTTTTCAAATGTTATATTTTGGATATTAATGGCTAAAGCTTGCTTATCTAGTTGTTTATTTGCTCATTGGGTATAGCTTCTCATCTTCGTTAGCCTTTTGAATGGTTTGATGCTTTGTGATTCTTTAGCACTTAAAACTCCAATTTTTTTTTTTTTTTAATCTTTGTTTTAGCTAAGATTGTTTCTTGTTCGTTTATGCGACACTTTTAGATTTAGATTTAAAGAATTTAGTTCCAGGTATCCAATAAAAAATCAATAACTTTCAACTTAAAACTAATTAACAATAAATTTTATAATGTTTTAACTTCCAATAAGAACATTTTAACATTCTAACTGACCTCTCTGAGATAAGGAGATAAAACACACAATTATCGTAATTATACCACAATAAGATGGATCATTTATACGAATCATTTAGAATTTGAAAATCATTTTTTGTAAAAACATATGTTGGATCAATAATAGTCCATTATTCTCATTTTTCACTCGGAACAATTTTTTAATATGAAGAATCCCATTTAAATCTGTTCAATAGTTTTAGAATCTCTTTTAATTCATTTTGAGCATTTTAAAATATTTTCGTAATTTGTTTTGAGACATATTTACATCATTTTTAACCAAAAATTTATTACTTATAATAAATCTTGGACAATATATTTTTCAGTGATTTTTACAGTTGATATAGAGGTTGCGGTAAAGCTTTATGATGAAACATTGAAATCGATGGAAAACTTATTTCTTGTGTATTTAAAAATAAGACTAAATTTTTTTAAAAATTGCTTTATTACAAGTTTATATTAAATCTGTGCTAACCTAGATAACTCTTTTTATATTAAAAAATATCATAACCTAGAAAATTCAACGATAATTAAATTAATTTTAACTTTTTAACAAAATTAACTTTTTTTTAATTTTTTTAAAAGTTAAAATTAACTTGTAATTTGTTTTTAAAAGTTAAAATTAAAAAAAATAATAAAAAATTAACTTTTCTTTAACCAAAAAAAAATTAACTTTTTAATTGAAGGTTTGTTAGATAATCATGTGAGGCAATCAGATAAGTCAGACTGCCATATCCATATTTCTACCGTGGTGATGTCCAGACTGTCCATAGCCTTTTAGGAACAACAACCAAGAATTAATTATATATATGTAAACATAAGTCAGTAACTGACAATTACTATTATATGTTGCATTGTTCTATATTTTTATTATACAATGACCAAAACGATTACCAAGACCACAATATAAAAATGACCAGATCGATTACCTAAAGAATTAATAAAAATTATCAGATCGGCGGAGACTTTCATTCACCACGAGGTCGTGAGCGCCATGCGCGGGTCAGGTATGAAAATTAATAATGCCCATGTTACGTAACTGAGTGATAATACTATATAGATTTTGACTTCGGCAGAAAATAATTTTTTTTAGTTCAAACATATTACCGATTACTTAACAGACTACCAAGACAAAAAGAATCAAAATCTTTTATGAAAATAGTCTCACTTTATTTATTTATTTTTGGTCGAAAAATAAATGAAGCTTCTCAAATTTATTTTAAAATTAAGAATATAGTCTAAAAGTCTTCTAATTAAAAAAGGCTAACACTAAACTCTAAATGCAAATTTAAAATCATAACCCTAAGTTAACTCCAAAAACATAAGTCCCTAACCCTAAAATCTTTAAGAAAAAATTTATGTCCTTAATTTACATGATTCAACCTATTTTATTTATATTTTTTTGTGTGTTTACGATGTTTTCAAAATTTTCAAAGTCCAATAACTAAATTATCTATATTTAAAAATAAAAAGATTTGTGAAAAGAAAAGATCCAAGTACTATCTAAATTATCTAACCAAAAATCTTAAACAAAACTTTCTCGGTCCTTAAGTTAAAAAGATGCATACCTATTTTATAAATTTAGTTTTCTCTTCTTTTTTTTAATTAATGAATTTTTTTTTCAAAATTATATTAAATCCAAGAACTGGACCAATTTAACAATAATAATATTTTTCAAAAGAAACTAAGATCCAAGAACTTAATTATCTATATTAAGCAATAAAAGATTTTTGAAATAAATTAAAGTGGTTTTTCTATGATATATATGTCAAGATCTTTTGTAAGACAATAGAAGTCAATGATCCAATAGTGCAGATTAGTAGCGTTCATCGTCGCTAGCACAATATATATGACAAAACTTTCCAACAAAATAATAGTAGATTTAAAATTACATTTGGACTCCTCGTCACAGTTATTTTGATATTATCTTAATTTATCAAATAGGACGATGATAATAGAAGATTAACAACTAATTACATTTAATTTTGTTGGTTTTATTTACATTTTTTACAGGTTAGAGGTACTTTCATAAAAAAATGTAATGGAGAGTGTTATTTTGTAGAAAACTCTATTGTTTTTTTTTTCAAAACAAAAAACTCTATTGTTTTCTCACTTTTTTTGCGAATGTTTTCATAATTATCTCGTTTTGTCACAATTGTCTCTATAAACTTTTTTACTGGTTTCGTCCTTTATTAAAAAATTAAAAATTGTAGGAGAGAGAGTGAGACAGAGACAAATACAGAGAAAGAAGAGAAAGAGAAAGAAAGAGGGAGAGAAAGAGAGAGAGAGAGAGATTGAAATTTCAAACTAAACATAATTTTGAGAACCTCCAAGAAAACAAATTCAATGGAGACTTTGAGCCCGAATCAGCATAACGTATTCATCGGTTTCAGCATGAAGGATACGCGCTACTCCTTCGTAAGCCATCTCTCAGCTGCTTTCCACCGGAGGAACATCTCGACGTTCCTCGGAGAAGAAGACATCATAAGCTCCGTGACTCAGTCTGCTATCGAGGGAGCTAAGGTCTTTGTGGTTGTCTTCTCCGAGAACTATGCCTTCTCGCCGCTCAGCTTGGAAACGCTCGCCAAGTTTTTGGATCTCCGGCGACGTGAAAACGGACCTGTTGTGATTCCAGTCTTCTACGGTGACGTCACTCCATCGATCGTTGAGCAGCAGACGGAGAAATTTGGAAAGGCTTTTTCCGAGCACCGGAGTTCGTTCTCCGGAGAAGACGACAAGGTGGAAAGATGGCGAAACGGTCTGGTTGAAGCGGCCAAGTTACAAGGCCATGACTCAAATGAACAACAAAAGTAAGTCTCTTATTTTACAGTTTACTGTTACAAGTCTAAAATACATATTATTTGAAATTTCGAATGAATCACAATTTATTTACAAAAGCTTAGTGGTGGGGAAAAGAAAAAAAAACTTAGTGGTAGGTTGGTTTTTAGACCTTAGTGGAGTTGTTATCATTTTATTTTTTTAAATTCATTACATCATATTTAAATCCGGATGGTGAGAAAACAAATAACACTAGTATAATAGTGACCACGTGTTGTTGGTCGTGGTCTCATGCAGTTGTAAAAGTTTTTTTTTTGGTTTTAATGTAAGACAGTTGTGCAAGTTTGTCTTACCTGAAATGTAAATGTATTTCCTTAGTCAATGATTTTATTATTTTTGTTAAAACAAATATTAATCAAAAGAACGTGACTTCAATTCAAGGCGATTTGAAATGTGTATTTATATAACATTATTGCTGGTTAATATTTTTAGACTCAAATCTTGTTATAATTTCATTCAGTTACAGTTGTTCAAGTGGCTCAACTCAACCATGTGTTATAGCTAGTCATATTAGACCATTTACAATGCTAGGTTTGATAAGTGAATTAGTGATGATTTATTATTCACATCTCGTGATTCCGTTTCATATTAGACAATTTTCCCGTTGTGGATATATAACCATATGTATGTATTAACAAGAAGATTAGTATACAAATAATGAAAATAACCATTTGTTAAACAACTTGCAGTGACTCAGATTTAGTAGAAGAGATTGTTTCGGATGTGCGCGAGAGGCTCTATCCAACAGGTAAGATTGGGATCTACTTGAGGTTGCTTGGGATCGAAAACTTGCTTTGCAAGCAAACTCCTGACATCTACAGGATAGGGATATGGGGTATGCCTGGCATAGGCAAAACTACCATTGCACAAGCAGCCTTTAACCAAATGTGTCAGGACTTTGAAACTCATTTCTTCCTCGAAAACTTCCACGTAAAGTTTCACGAGAAAGGGCTGTACAAGTTGCGGGAAGAACATTCCATCGAAAAACTAAGAGAGAAAACAGCTCTTGTTGTTCTTGATGATGTGCACGATCCTATGGAAGCCGAGTCTTTCCTTGGAGGATTTGATTGTTTTGGTCCCGCAAGTTTAATAATCATAACATGTCGAGATAAACAAGTTCTTTATCAGTGTCAGGTTGATAGTATTTATGAGGTACCATCCTTAACCAAGAAGGAGGCTCTAAAGTTATTCATCGGGTTTGCGTTTCCAGAGAAAGAAACAAGTGATAGTGATCTAGTAGAAGTGTCAAAGAAGGTCGTTGAGTATGCCAATGGGAATCCTAAAGCTCTCTCCTTCTATGGCAGAGAGCTAGAAGGGAGGACGACACCAGAAGAAATGGAGGCGAGTTTCGAGAAGATCAAGCGATGTCCTCCACAGGAGATTATTGATGTGTTCAAGAGCAGCTACGATGCGCTCAGCGACAATGAGAGGAGCATATTCTTAGACATTGCTTGTTTCTTTAATGGTGAACAATTGGATCGTGTCATGAAGATATTTGAAGGGTGTGGTTTCTTCCCACACGTTGGAATCGACCGTCTTGTGGAAAGGTCTTTATTGATGATATCGAAGAACAATAGAGTTGATATGCACAATTTGATTCAAGATGTTGGTCGGGAAATCGCCAATCAAGAAAATAATAAAATCTTGAGGCATCGCAGATTTTGGGATCCTTCACGCATTAGATTATTACTAGAAGACATTGAGCCTAAGGTACTATTAGACTGGTCACATTTTGATATTTTCCATTATTTACAATAATCCCTAGTTCCAGATTATTCGGTTTGTATATATCTCTTCATCAGTTTGATCCTCATATGTGTGTGTGTTTTCTTTTTTAGGGTGTTGAAGTTATTGAAGGGATTTTTTTTGACACAACAAACCTAAACGTTGTTGTTAATCCTATGGCGTTTGAGAATATGTATAATCTTAGACTGTTGAAGATTTATAGCTCAAACACTGAAACTGCTCAAGAACTCCATCTCCCCCAGGAACTGAACTCTCTGCCTTATGAGCTCAGGCTACTTCACTGGGAAAAGTATCCGTTGCAATCGTTGCCTCAAGATTTTGATCCTAGCCATCTTGTTGAACTCAATATGCCTTATAGTCAGCTTCAAAGTCTATGGGGAGGAACCAAGGTAATGCAAAATCCCGAGAACCAACCGCATGTCTTTTTCTTGCATTTGTTGAGCTGTTTCTATGTTTGGTTTTGTTTTACAGAGTTTAGGAAAGTTGAAGATAGTAAATCTTAGCCATTCTCAGAAACTAGTTGAAGTTGAGGAACTCTCGAAAGCTTGTAGTCTTGAGCAAATTGACCTTCAAGGTTGCACAAGCTTAGAGAGCATCCCACGCAATGATCGACTAAAGAATCTTCAACTTCTGAACCTCTCTGGTTGCACAAGAATCAAACGTACAGAGATTATAGATAAGATCAAAGGACTGGATCAAGAAGGCGGTTTGAGAGAAACAAAAACTGATTCAATGGTGTTCTCCACGTTAGTAGAGCTGGAATCTGAGGATAACACATTGGACTTCTGAGATTACAAAATAAAATAAAAAACCTACTTGTGTGTTAAATACTCTTGAGTAATTGCTCAAGTTTTTAAAATTCCTAGATATGAATTTCGTTAAACATTTCAAGGAAAGTAGGTGAAAACGTTGTTAAATATTTTATCTATGCTAAAACAGGACAAGTAGAGGAAGATATTATTGTTGTTGCCTTTGGTTAGTTCGGACTGTGAATCTTACTCTGTTTTTCTCCTGGCCTATTTTTTTTCTTGGAGAACAAGTTACTATCATCTGCTGGATAGAAAACCAGCTAAAATGACACGGAGAATCAAATATGTGACCAAAAATTCAACAAATAATCGATCATTCTCAGATGATTAGATGAACGTTAAGCAGTCCTTGGTCCATGCATTACTTGATACACCAGGCTCACACACCAGAGATACTCAATATTAAGAATAAAAAATACAAAAGGATCACAAATAGAAAGAGAACCCAAAAGATCTTTTTATTTCAAGAATCCAATGAATCAGACAAAACTCCATATCTAAAAACTCTCTCTCTCCTCTCTCTCTCATATAACCTAAACTAACAAAATACATACCAAAAGTTGCACAATCTCCAACATTGATGTTGGACTCTGTCGATCATAACCTTCATCATGTGAACTTATTCTCCGTTTAGTAGTCCATTGGAATCACCAAAATCGTGCTCTGAAGCTATGTGAGACGCTAATTCACCGTGTATACTTTCCTCTGACCTAGGAGATGCATCAAATCTTGGCTCCCAAGAAACAGCTCCCTCAGAATTATACAACAAAGAGAAGCCGCATTTCATCACCTCACATTCTCGGACTTCACTTGCACCATCTGTGACTTCAAATCCAAGGGAGATTTCGGTAGGAACGTATTCCTTGTCATCTTCATTTTTTTGACTTTTATTAGTATTAAACCAATTGGTGTAGCCAATGAACACATGATCCGAATCAATTTTACGTGACTCATCACTACTTAGCTCAGAACAACCACCAACAATAATACTAATTTTACGCCTCAGTCTTATGATAGCATGATCAGTGAACTCACAATTGCATTTCACTTGGAGGGTGTTGGTTTGGCCTTTGAACTCCTTAAACGAGACTACAACACATAGAAATACCCCATTTACTCTGCCTTCTTTCAGGTCTCGAGGCAGCGTCCGCTTTAAGATTGATCCAAATGTTTGGTGGTTAAACCATAAAGGTACATCACATCCAGGAAAGCAGGTACCAATCAAGGAGTTGAAAACGAAATCCTGAAAATTAATTGCAAAAGTCATAATCTATGGATGCTTCAGGACATCAAAATATCATAGAAAGAGAGAGAGAGAGGAGAAGAAAAGCCTACCCGATTATAGCCATCATCTGACATCGACCGGCATTTCTCATGAGCGTAAGATATGATAGCATTCTTTGAAACTTGTTCTAGTTCGTTGCAGTTGGTGAACATCAGTGTTGAATGAAAATTCTCTGTTGGCCTAGGATGGACTAGTGAGCTGGTGACGGTTCTCAGTGAGATACAACCATGTGCATCTAAGCATTGAAGATGTGGTGGAAGCTGAAGACTTGTGAGATTCTTACAATACTTTAACTCTAGCCATTTTAAATGACTTGTGTTCAATTCCAGAGTACGGATATTAGCATTCCCACTCAAGCATAAACGTTGTAGCAAGGATAAGGATGAACCATCAATATTGCATGGCATCTCTGTTATTGATGTTCCACCAAGTAGTAAAATCCGTAGATTTACCATGTTATCCTTAACATCAGGAAAACTATTGAGGTTCGAACAACGAGAGAGTTTGAGTTGTTGAAGAGATATCAGCTTCCCTATACAATTAGGAAGAGTAACCAGATTTTTGCAGTCTTTCAGGTTCAATAAGATAAGTCTTTGGAGATTACCTATGGTTGGGGGAAGTGTATTAACTGCAGTGCCGTTTAAGTACAGTTTTTCTAGCTTTTCTGAAATCACTTGAAATTTCTGTAGCTTTGAACATCCGCTGAGAATGAGAACCTTCAAGGAATCCATGTTTATATCCGGCAAAGATGAAAGACTTGTGCATTCTCTTAGGTTCAAGAAAACAAGATTTTTCATATCTTTCATTTCCTCGGGTAGCTCCTTCAAACTTATGCAGCCTTCAAGGTTCAGTCTCAAAAGATTTGGTGCTTTTGATAAACCTGACAAAGAACTCAAATTACTCGAGTGGCTAAGATCGACCCACTTTAGTTTTGGTGCAACCTGTAACAACCAAAAAGATTTACATATTATCATTCACACAAATTAGCCTAATTTACTTAACACTTAAAGGGAGAGACACAAACCTTAGTACCCTGCCATACACATTTAATTTTGCTGTAAGGCAAGCTAAGATGGATAAGATTATTGGGTTTGAAGTTTGATGGGAGTTCCTCCCCTGGAAATTTCATCCAGTAGATATATCGAATAATATTATCTTCCGGAAACTCGAGCCCGTCAGGTAAGTTTAACTTGCACTTGGCTTCACCATTACTAGGGTCAGTGGAACTGTAGACTTTAAGATACCGTAGATTGCTCATACCTATAAATGCTTGGTTGTCTAACGGCTTTTCATCCATTTTAGACATGTCTATGGTAACACCTCTAACCTCTTCTTTACCCTGTTGATCAAGTAAATTACCAAAAGTTATTGAAAGTGCATATCGAACTCTACCAATACATTAGGTCACAAACTCTAACTTGTTATCTCACCTCTTTGGTTTTTAACGCATCAGTTGACTCTGCTATTTTCGACGGAAATAGCCAATACTTCCCTTCACTTGTTCCAACAAGTTCCTTGCACATTGTCAACCATAGATCTTGCATCTCAACTCGGCCATCATACACGCGAATCAAGAACTTTTCCTCGAGATCTCTAATTTCGGTGCTACCTTTAGCAGATTCTTGGTGAAAAGAATCCAGTAGAGTTGTTATGTAATCTTCATCTTGTGATCTGAAGAAACAAGCTATTTCAAGAAGTGCATCCTTCTGCTCACTATTTAGTTCGTCATAACTGATTTTCAACTCTTTTCTGATCTCCGGATTTAGAATTTGTGTCAGTGTTCCAAGTCTTTCTTCCCATTGATCTTCCTCTTTCCCCTTAAGCTCCCCACCATATGCCTTGAGAGCTAATGGGTTGCCTCCTGCATAATCCAAGAACTTTCTTAACAGCTCCATGAATTTTCCCTCAAGAGTAGTACAACTTTGTGCTCTAAAGAGCTCTAAGCCCTCTCTGTCATTCAACCCTGGGACTTCATAGAGATCGCATTCCAGTCCCTTAAACAGTGACTTGTCCCGTGTAATGATGACGATCTTGCTCCCTCTCTTAATCCAGTCCCGGTTCCTTAGAACCTCATCGATATGTTTCTTGTCACTCACGCCATCAAGAACAACCACGACTTTCTTCTCGAGTAGGCGGTTCTTCCAAACCTCAAGTGGACTTCCATTAGAAAAAATTATATTTTCTTGATTAAGTAACCCTTCAACTATTGTCTTCTGCAGCCATTCAAGCCCTTGCTCGTTCGACTTCTCACGGGGGAACTCGACAAACACGTGACGTCCGATCTTTGTCTTCAACTTTTCGAACAGATTCTTGGCTAGATAGGTTTTGCCGATTCCAGCCATCCCAACAATTCCAACAACACGAGTGTCGTTGTCATTGCACTCTACATCCAACTTTTCTTCCAGTTGCTTCAGGCGTTGTCCTCCTGATTTGATTATATTTGTTGCTCGGTTAGGGCTTTCTTCGGGTTTAGGGTTTAATTCTCTTAGAGATAAATCTTTTGTTAGGGCATTCTGAACCTCTTCAATGATCTTATCGAGGAAAGCAACTTCGTCACTGCAACGTTCGACAAAGATATTGATTTTTTTTAAAAAAATTGGTCAATATTAATTATGGGTCATTGATCTAATCAATCAAAATTGGACCAAACCCAAGGCAGCCTAATTAGATCCAACAGTGTTGTTAACAAATATGTAATCTAGAAATCTCTTATATAAAACTGAATCTCTGGCACATGTAAGATTTTTATAACTATTAAATCGTTCTATTTGTCACAGTTAATTAAGATCTTGACATATAATGTAATAATATAAACTTTGCAATCTTAATTATTTACTTAAAAAAATAAAAAATGAAATATAATCTTTTTCTAAAAGAAATTAACAAAAAAATAAAGTACATAAAAAATAAACAAAAAATTACCATAAATAAAAATTATGTTTATGGAACCTTAAACATAATTAATACGAATTATGATTGTTTATCAGATTTATGATTAATACGAATTATTTTTAATTTTTTAATTGTAATTCATAAAATATAAATTGTAAATAAATTAACAAAAGTTTAATTTAAAATCTATTAAACAGATCACAATTATGCAGATAATTAATTTTAAAATATAAATTTTCTTATTTTATTGCATATTAAAAATAATCAAGAACATGAAAACAATATGAAAACATCTAGAAATCATGGTATAATAATAGAGCTGATCGTAGAAGAATTTCAGATTATTTGTAAAATACTTTTGGAGGTAATAAGTACTTTCTTAGACCATTTGTACTGTATTTTGTTTTCTCGAAATAGAGTAAACCAAAATAGATATGTGGGCTCATCTCCAATGTTTAAAAAACCTCATTCAGTTTTCATTTTTGACCGAAATGTGAAAGTTCTCCTGTTAAGAATATCATCTGAAAATGACTAAAATAAGACAAAGAGAACTTTCATCTAAACCCTAAAAAGCACCTCTTATAGTCTTATGAAGCAAAATAAATACTTAAACTTTTTAGATTTTATTGGCGTGGATCACCAGTTATCGTTGGATATTTTTGGATTTTATTGGTCCGCTAACCGTAAATTTTAACAATGGTTTCAGATTAAAAATATTGGCTCGAAGGCTCACGATCTCTGACACCATACTAGTGAGGACCATGAATAATTCAAATAAGAGTGCCCATTAACCTTGAAGCAATGCTTCAAGTTTTTAGCGAGCATTAACCCCATGGCTGGACGAATTTACGCCTTGAAACCTTGGCTGTTATCTTTCTACCAGACTACCACCACTAGACTAGGAAGTATTTTAAAGATTTTCTCTACCAAGAGACTTGGACACAGGGTCTCCAAGCACAAAAGCAGGGTTGCCACTATACCACGAGTGTCTTGGCCCATTAAACTACTTAGATTCAATGTTTTCATCCAACCAATTAATACCAGTAAAAATAACTTAATGTAGGTTAGTTAATTACCGGCTAATTTCCGATTCCAACGCAATCTTTTTTGCAACGCCTTGCAAAGCAGCATCCCACTTTAGGATCCGGTCATCTCGGCCTACCTTCCTCCATAAATTCCATAGCTGAACACCGAACTCTCCATCAAGCTTTTTCACCGTGCCTGGCTCCAACTTGTAAAATATGGGAATAACCCAGAGAGTGCGTCGATCCACGCACTTCATTATATGCACAAGCTCTCCCAAGCACCAGTGTGACTCCGTGTACCTTCTTGATAAGATGGTCAGCGCGACTGTGGACTCCTCAATCCTTCTAAAGAGTATATCAAGATCCTCACCCGCGTGCTCGTTGCTGTCGATATAAGCGTTGATTCCGTTGCGTTCCAAGGCATCTTTGAGATGGGAAACGAAGTTTTTACGCAGTTCTGCTCCCCGGAAATTGATGAACACTTGCGGGCCTACGTTGACGTTGGCAGATGAGGATGCCACCATCTCAAACTTGTTTTCTTTTGTTTGTATGTGTTAATGTGTGTGTGGCTGTTTGCTATTGATTGCTAGGAGAAGCAATGCCCATATATTTGCAATACAATATCATATCATTGACGTCGTCCTCTTATATATATCTTAGCTGACCGCGTTGTTCGTCAAGATTACAACGTACGTAAGAACTTTGTGATATGGTAATTTACTGGTTATTGTTTTATTAGTCGAGTTAACAATCATTTTTTTTTTTGTTATAAGAGGCGCTATTTCTTTATAGACTGCAGATTTTAAATTACCACTATACGCTCATAAGAAAACAAATAGTCATAGAAAATAATACACCATAATACAATATACGGATTTTCCTCCGAAGCCCGATATGAGAGTAACGTTAGCGTTAACAACCAAGATATTCGATCCACACATCTGACATCTCAACGGTCATCATTTGTAATTTTGTATTAACTAAATGATAATTGATAGGGTGGGGGATAATAGACAACATTTTGATGATAATCTCTACAAAATAATTTAACTATTATAAAGATATGTAAAATACTGTCTTTATAATATGATATAAAGATATGTAAAATACTAATTTACCTATTAAAAATATGATATGTACAAGAAAATATAAGCTATATATGATACGGCAGTAGAGCATTGTTCGATATCTTGATGATGAATAGTTCATTCCAAGATAATAATATCTATTTATTTATTATAACTAATAAAACACACACATGTTAGTAAGTAAGTGGTTTAAGTAGTTTAACTAGTTTTGAATAAAAATGGTAAAAAATATGCATTATGGTAAATTAAATTTGGATGGTAACTAAATGAGTACGCTATTAGCACAAACAATTAAATTTGTACATGTTCGGATTATGATCTATATACTTATTTGTGTAGTAATTTGTTTAAGTGTTGCGCTCACAACAATTTTCACATTGTTTCGCTTACGTGTCAGCTCCAAAATGAGTTTCGGTTGCAAAAAGATATTTTTACCTCATTTACCGATTATGTGTTATTTTTTATTGGTTCTTATCTGATGATGTATTAAAAATAATTTAAACCGTTTGAATTATTGTGGTTTAATGCTTTATTTCACTGTCAAATCAAACCATTTCTAAAATTTTTAAAACCAAAATTTAGTAAAAATTTAACAAAAAAATGAAAAATCAATAAATAGAATGTTTAATGGAATGATGGTATTTGTGATGTCTAGATTAGTGTATTCAAGTTCAAATATTTTAGTATAAATATGTACATGATTTCTCTCTAATTTTCTCACACCTTTTCTAAATTGTTTAACTCTTCCTTCTTCTTCAAATGAGTTCGTACAGTACTTCAAAAAACTACGTCTTAAATACATAGAACAATGTTCAAAAGATTTTAAACTATTTAAAATAAATTATTTGGATACTAATATGCTTTTATCTACATCTTCTATACTGTTTTTACGATCATGTCTTAAACATTAAAATGTAAGAAAATCTAATATATAAATATTTTCAATAATAGAAAATAAAATAAAATAAATGACTTCAAACTACAATTAGATTTTCAAATAATAAAATGAAAAATTATATCAGTCCACGTATGACTTGGACAAATTCAAAAACCGGATATATGCTTAAGATTTTTTTATGTCATTTTTTATATGCATGTTGAATTAAACAAATCTAATATGTATCGTCATGTTTTTATTGCAATTTTTGTTTGACTATGGACTTCGTATAAGGAAATGCAACCACCATTAAAAAAAAATCATTGTTTATTTGAATTTCTCAATAATTTCAAGGAAACGGATGGAAAATGACGCATTCGACGAATAAGTTCCAACGATCTCAGAATAATAAATGGTACAAAATCTATGTGAATACCTATGTTTTACAATCCGGAAAGGTCAGGTTCTATAATCTTATATTTTCTAAATATAATTTACTATGAGTCTTAAACTTTTAATTATGACGTATAAGAAAACTCACAATAATAATAAACGTTATTATTATAAGAAAACATTAGAAAGTGTAATAGTAATAGGATTCCAAACAGTTCTAAAATTCACGTACAATATACAAAAGTACACCCAATCTTGAATTCTTGATATGAATCTCTTCATAACACCTTAAAATGTATTACGAGACGAGACGGTTCTTTTGCTAAATCATAAAATACATATTAGACAACGATTAAGAGATAAAGATTAAAGAAATTTAGTTCTACTGAATTTTATTATCATTGTTATTATAAGTAAGTCACATAATAATACACATCAACATGTTTCTCATGTTAAAAATGAAAGTAGTTAATTCTTAACTGTGAATACATAATGCTTATCAGAGAGGGCTTAGTACGAGGTACGGAGGTATGATAGTTCAGGAATCGAGACTGTCCTATGTTTCATTTCATGAATTAAAAACTAATTTGGTTTTTAGATAATTGCTTTTAGATATTTAAATATTTTATCTTCTAAAAACAAATTTCTAATAAGACTTTTTGGCAGATACATATACGACTTTTTGGTATACTTTTTATTTGCATAACCAAATTTTAGTTATAAAGCTCATATACAATAGTTTTCAAATATATTTAAAAAATTTAAAACAAATTTTTTATTATTAAAGAGTCCAAATTTTTCTTTGACCCTGAGACCTTGAAAAGATTTGAACGGATTCCCTAATTATGTTATTATATATAAAAATGATATTTTTATATTCAAAGCAGTGTTTTAATTACAAAATAAAAAGAAGTGCTAGATGAGCCTCAAAAGTTTGCGTCGAATTTTATCAAAATCTAAAAACAAGATATGGATCTAATATCCCCACAAAAAGGTTTTAAGTTATCTACCTGTTTTGATGGGGTTATATTATATCAAAACATTGGCTATTTGGTGACCACGGATTAGTCATCTTTTTCTCTTGTGAACATTAACAACGGATTAAGGGCGTAACTAAATGCTCATGTGGCCGCTTGTGGAGCAATTGATCTACGGATTACCAGATATCCAAGTTAATCGATAAGAGCATACAGAACCAGCTATGTTCAATTGGAAGCAATGGCGACATGAGATATGAAGATGGTTTGAGAATATGGTTTTCCACAAGATAAACATATAAAACTAGCTCTTAGTAGATTTATTACTTAAAGACCAAAATTTTTTTTATCAAAATTGTAAAAAAACTTTATTTTTTTCTTTGAATATAATTAACATTTGATTCAAAAAAAAATACGACCATAATTTGTATGGTTTCCATGGCTATGTACGCTTTTCCGTTACAAAATTAAAACGTGGCCAATTTATATGAAATCTTTGTGGGTTTTACATGGTCATTTTTCACTGGATAGCAACAAAAATATTACGGTGTTTTCTGAACTGGCTAAATAATCATCTAAGAGAGTATTATTTGTTTATGTATTTAAATTGATTTATATATATATATATATATAAGATTTAGAAATAATCTTTGTTTTTATAAATCCGAGTAAATCTAGAGGTTTTACCTCGAATTTGAGTTTTTGTATTTTTAACATGAATATTCATCTAAATTTATCAAAATCTTGTCTGAATTAATCAAATCCATATTAATGCTTTAGGACTGAATAACATGTGAAAAAAAAAATTTAAATCATGGAACCAATAACACCAAATTTGAAATGAATTTTAACTCTAAATTTGGTTTGGATTTCCAAATCAATTAAAATACATAAACAATAACACCCACTAAATCTTCAGCAAAGCATTCTCAAGAGGAAAGACACCAACAGATTTCACAGTATAGCTCTCTAACTTGCAAAAGTTGTCTCAATGGTTCCTTCGTGCCCTTTTTACCTAGGTCAATTCAGCTCCTTACTCCTTACCATAAACTATAAGTTTATGTGAATATATTTTCGTATTACGTGCGGATTTTTTTCTTCAATTATTTTAAAATTATATATTTTTATATTTTTTTAAAAAAATAATCATTATTTATTATATATTAGTACATTATTATAAATCAATCAATTTAAAATAAAATCTCATTAAAAAATCAAAAATTTATAAAAAACTATAAATATTTTAATTAATTATTTAATATTTATATAAATATTATTTAATAATAAATTAATACTCTTTTGAAGTGGTTTAAAATTTAATATTAAAAATTATTAATTATGTTTTTTTAAACTGTAATTTTAAATGCGTTTTTTCAACTATTTCAAATTTATATATTTTTATTTTCCTAAAAAAATATGATAATCATTTGTTATGTGTTAATATATTATTATAAATCAATCAATTTAAAATATAATATCATTATAAATCAAGAGTTTATTCAAAAAACAACAATTTTAATTAATTATAACATAAATTCTTTTTTAATATTTATATAAATTTTATTTAAGAATCAATTAATAGTAAAAAAATTTCATTTTCTTTGAGTGATTTAACACTATATTAAATTTTTTTAATTAATTTTCTTTTAAAACTGTAATTTTAAATTAAAAAGACACATGTAATTCTCATATCAACTCTCAAATGCTGATGTAGCATTCATATGGAGATAGTTGAGCAACTTTTATAGTATAGATATTCACATTTTATCCCCAAAACAAGAAGAAATATTACATGGACATATTGCTACAACTTTTCAGAAATAAATTGCCGTTACGACTGTTTTAGAACAGAAATCAACCCTCCCAAATGGAGAGATTTTAGAAATTCTAAAATACCACTACAACACCACCCATTTGGTAACATTAACACGAAAAATATTAAACTCTTGTTGTTGATTCAACTATTTAAAACTCACTGGTCTTATAAAAATAGTGTGTTGCGATGTCATTTGTGAAAACGTAGACGCTAACTAATTTCCCCTGAAAACAGGTATACGGTCGTTGTTAAGGTTATATTTGTTTCTTTTTGTTAAGACTTATTCCATTCGCTAGGGTGGCTAACTAATGATGTGACATTAGAAGACGATGAGAAAGATGGTACTTGAAATTTGTATGCATGCATATTTTAA